ACTACCAAGTGTATTTCGCCTGAAAGCCACCGAGAGCTTAATGAGTGGGTAATGAAGCGTAGGAAAGAATATTACACAAATACAATATAATAATGCAAATATTTTACAAATATTTTTTAAGCCAGGTAAATTTTATACTGTGTTTCAAATTCAAAAATTAACAGAAATAAACTTATAACAAAGTTTAGCTAAAAAAAAATTAGCACAAGTACATAAGTTCTATTGCGAAAGCAGGTGACAAAATGACAGCTCGCTGGATGGAATTTCACAAGCATTCCAAAGTCAAATGTATTAATTTCAGATTCATTAGTTTTAGTCGCTGATTGCGATTTGAAGAAAAAATTCCATGCCAAGACGCGTGCCCAAGTCACGCACTACTCATCAGGCTTGGAAAGAGAGGAGGAAGTTTCTGGGGGGTTTTTTGTAGTCTCCCAAAGGGGCTGAAACTAAGCTTGAGCTGACTAAAGCTAGGCGCATGATCACAGCCGACGACGACACACGCCTGCGAAAAGTTCTTTCACCTCGCGCGGATTTTAGTTTCAATTCTCCGTTGTTCCATACTCGGGGAGCTTTTCAATGTCAGCGGATAGATAAGGGCGACGCGTTGATAAGGGGGGCGGCGAACGAATTATAAACAAATTTATTCGCGCGTGGCAAAGAGCAAGAGCAGCAGCTCCAACAGGTGTAGATTCTCCACTTGAGAGGCGACGGTCCTCTCTCTTTCCTCACCTTTCATTCATATTTGCTGTCTCTTACTTTGTTTTCTATTCTCACTTTTTTTTTTTTGCTGATAATACAGCAGAAACATTTTTTTATAGCATTCTATTTCCGTTCACATTTTGTTTCGATTATTTAATAAATAATTTATTTTGTTTTGCTAATCTATGGATGATTTTTTGCGTTCTCCTGCAGCCAGTTTTGTTTTTTGCAAGCAACAAATTTATATATACACTTGTCCAGTGTCTAAGGGATCGTATTTCTTTTATTCTTGGAAGTGTTCATGCTGATAATCCCAATCAATCCAGTTATAAGCTGCCTCAAGGTCATCAGATGATAAGGACAATTTGGTAAAGGAATGCAATGCGGCTATATTTATTTACTGATTAAATAATTGAACGGGGAAAAACGTAAAAATTAATGAATGGATATTAGGAAGGGTTTTCTGTCAATCTAAGAAATACCTTCTGCTGTTATAATACAAAAAATGTACATTATTGATAAGAGATATGAACTATTTGCATATTTTTATTTATTTAGCCAACAAATAGCTTTCGTCTTTGGCCAGTAAATATGTCAATTAGTGTTTCAAATCAAATCATCAATAAACGAACCACTTTATAACCCATTCAAGCAAAGCTCTCCAGGGGACGGATGATGAAATATAACAATTAACTGAGTAAAGGCAATCAATGTCTGAATAATGTGCACAGTGAAATCGGCGGCATGAATAATTAAAGGCGAAGTTGTATTGATCAAGCGCAGATATGGACAAACAAATTATAAATAATCTGGCAAATCTAATAATAAACTCAATTGGCTAAAACCTATACCGAGAGTTGTCAACTTTGCCTCTCCACTATTCCGTATCCGAATCATTCCCATTCAAACATCTCCCATCACAGTCTTTGACCGTTTCGCATTCTTGAGTTTAAATTGCCGCTGCTGCTGCTGCTGCTGCTGCCGTTGTTTATGTTATTAACACAACAAACAACCACTTAGCTTCGAAAATGATTTCAAGCATTTGGGGGGGTTTAAAAATAAACATCAAAGCGAGAGGGACGGCGACGGACGGAAGCGCAAGTACATAGAGTACGAGTACGAAAGCGAGCACCAGAGTGGCCAAAAATAAATATTGAGTTGGCTATTTTTAAACCGAAAAGCCGCGTATCCGTTCCTCAATTGCACGGACACAAATTGAAGTTTCTATATATATACACATATGTTCCGAATCGTATCTGATCGGATCGCAATGTTAATTGGCAGCGCTCGAGCGAATCACATCGAGTCTAGACTCGAGACAAATCGTTTTAAATTAGATCTTTTGACTTCAATAGGCCCGCTTCAGGTGGAACTTTACTTTCTATTTGTTCAGGAACAAATTATCAAGGAGAAGACATTTTTACATTTAAAATTAAATGGAAACTAAATAAAGATCTTGTAGATTAAGTTTTGTTTTCAAAGTTAGTCAATCTTCTTTATCAGTGTCCACTTTGATGCTTTAGGGAATTGGGAATTTTAAGATCAATATGTAAGCAATATCCGTAAAACCTCTAGGATTCTATACGTAAAATCTGTCCTTTAAATTTAATTTGGGTAATAATAATATTTTGTAGTCCTTTTTGATCTTACTTCTGTGCAAAAGTGGCTCTGGTTGGTTTATGAGTGGGGGGTGCTGCCATCTCGGATTATTAATTATGCAGGCGAAATTACATTTCAGCGATTTACTTAGTCAATTGAGTACAATAAACATGGCCAGTAACAGTAATTGTCGCTTATGCTTGTTATTGTCGTTGGTGCATTTCGCAGTTCATAAATCACGAGCTGGCGCAAAAGTATCTGACAGATACAAATAGCGAATGGCCGTCGTTGCCGTTGGCGTAATGATGGCGGCGTTTACGTTCATTTACACTCCATCAATTGCGTAGTTTACGGCCCAAAACTTTGGGTAGGGGGAAAAAAAAAAGTAAAAAAGCACCCATCATCGCATGCATTCGTGGCTTAATCAGCAAACGGGCGAATACGCAGTTTTGGGCTTGCCTATATTTAGTACTACTCGTGGGGCAATTAGCAAATCGAATGCGTAATTCTAACGGCGCATATACCGCGATGCGGTGGCGTCTGATGTGTAAATATAATTAAACATGCTTGTTTAGTGATCAGCACACAATCAGAAATATACACATGCATGTTTACATTCGACCGGCGATGCTCCTTGGGGGTGTTGTTTAGAAATGGCATTGTGTAACCTAGAACATGGTACATGGAAGCCTGTCTGAAGGGGACTTGAAGCCACAAGTAGAAATTTTAACAATCGAATTTAGTTTTAAACTAAGTCTACAAATTTGGCATGTCTAGCTCTTATAGTCTCTGAGATTTGGAGTGTACTTGTGAATTTGTAAATTAAGTAATTTATTTCAAATAAATTTTAAAGAATTCAGTTTAATTCTTAATAGTTGACCTTATAGAACATGGCGAAAGAAATAACTGTAAAATGCACATGTAAGTAAAATATGATATCAAAATAAATACATATCAAAAGACATACAAAAATAAAACTACATTTAAAAATGTACTAATGATGGCTAACAATAACATATTCCCAGCTTTTCAACACATGTATTTCAATAAATTTTCACCCCGACAACGACTTTTGTTTACATTTCCCATGTGCAGGCACGCGTGCAGCAAGACGCAAAGTAGTTTCTAACGTTTCTCAACGCACTGCCATTCTCGTGTCTTGCTCTCTATATGCTCAAGTCATTAGGATGTTAATTAGTGGAAAACTAATTAAGCCAATGCTAATATTTGCCAAACACTGGCAAACTTAAAAATATTTGCCAAAAAGGTGCATTTAGAAAGTTAATATATGCTAAGAAACTAAATTTTAAACGCAATTCAATTCTCTTAATGCGCACTTTTGAGCTGGCGCCTGAAAAAAGATTAGACGAGGCAAAGCCAATAATTACCCTCAATATATAGTATGTATCTCTAAGGTGGATCGCCCTGCAAAATCATATATACATATGTATGTATGTGGGTCAGAGAAGCGATAAGACAGACATGTGAGTGCTCAATGAACTCACGTGAGTGCGATTTGTGAATGATTTACGACTGACACTCTCGGAATATATATCTTATGACTGTCTGGCATGGGACCCTGTTACGCGATAGCCCATCGAAGTCATTATAGCCTGCATACACCACATGTGCCACATTCCCGATACTACCATCCTATATATATATATATATATACGCACAGATATGTATATGCTCAAATCGCAAATGTGCAAATTCAATTTGCGTGAACAGGAAGCGAACGTAAATCAAGCGGCAACGCAAAATGGTGGGAATTTGAGTCTTGCAGTGGAGCCGCCAGCCAGGAAATCTTAGCAGTTGATCAATTTTAATGGCCCGCCACTGGAATTACACTCGGGATCCCAGTCCCAGAGCCATGGGCCGCATTAGCAACTTGGCCATAACTTTACGCGGCGGCGGCGGCACCTGGCAAGTGCAATTGCGACTGGAAATAAACATAAAGCCACTGAGGTCGGGGCCACACACATGGCCACAGTGGTCGAGAATCTGCCAAAGTCTCTTCAAAGTTTTATTAATTTTTCACCTTAATAGGTAAAAAAGATGAGTAACGCCGTACATCATCTTGCATATGACAATACGCATTTTATTAATATATATTTTATAAAAAAATATCCATGATCATAAGAAAATATCCACAAGTTAAGCCTTAAACCTCTTTTCATAAGCATTCTCCCAGATTTGCGTGCCACTGTGCAACGTTTGCAGTGCCTGAAATAAATGTTTATCAGTCCAAAGCGCACAGCGATTATATTGGCAATTATATCGCCACATCGGCGCTTCGCACGTGACCAGTTTCAAGTTCAACGGAAGAAGGCAGCGCAATTGTTCGAGGAGGCACAGTTCCCGTCCCTCGAGGTGCGGTAGAAAGACACACAGCAGGCGGTGGGCTCTTCGCGCAAAGAATGCTTCCTAGTCTTATCTACGGCGCAGGTGACTGTCGTCGCGAAGGGTGGGCAGGTGAGCTGCTCACTCAACGTGGCACATGTCAAGGCCAGCAGTGGCAAGCTTATGCAGGCCAAAGTTCCATTCTCAAGTTCAAATGCAGAGGATGGATGCAAGCAGGATTATGCGGAAAGTCCGGACAAGTTACACAAGTTCTAAGCAAACTTACTACCCGCTGAGCAGTGCTGTATTGGTGTTATTAAGCCAGCGGGATGGTATTAAATTTAAACACAATTTTAACCTTTAAGGTAAATTTTATCAAGAAAGTTGTTTATATCAACAATATAATTTAACAATAAACATTTTTTAAATTCTCTAAAATATTATTAATCACTTGATCTACATGGAAATTCTGTTGATATTTTTAACATTTGCCTGATGAGTTTTCTATTTATATTTTTCGCCTTAAGGCAGTGCTTGCTGTCTGATTGATGCGGTGCCAGAATCGATACATTTTGATGTGTATTTCATAAAATGGCATTAAATGGAATTTAAGCTGCCAAAACAATACAATAGTGAGAAGGGAATGGAGGTATGAAAGGCAGGCACACTACGTGGCGACGCCCCGCAATTCCAAATCAATTATGTTACTGAGCTCTCTTTCTAAGAAAAAAAATTGGTGCCATCAGTTATGTTTTTATATCTGCTAGGCTGTGATCTAACAACCAAGCCTATTTAAATAATGTTTTTGATATAGTTATGCATCTTCCAATGATATAAGATTTAATTTTAGGTCGCTTAAGCGCCCAAAACCAAAAGTAAAGAAATTTTTACTATATTTATTACCAAAATTATACCACATTAATTAATGAATTTTTCTTACTTTTTTTTCTCCAATTAATTTTTCAGTGTACCCCAAGTGCCAAGGGCCCTAAACAAACATCAAGGGAAACTGAAGTTTCAAACACAAGTGCCGCCTGCTCGCTAGCGTCCAGCTCCAGCTTGGGCGTTGGCACCCACCTCGGATCCAGCTCCAATGCCGGCTGACATCCCAGCTCCAGGCCCGCCCTCTGCCATATCGGCGCCTGCACCGCCCTGGGCTCCAACTTGACCGCCAGCCCCTGCCGCTGCTGACATTCCGCCCTGAGCGACGCCCATGGCTTCGGGCGGCGGCCCCGGGACTTGAGCCTCGGCGATGCACTAATTGAGGAAAAATGTATGTGGGTTCAGAAGGAGTAAATCACACGGAGCATTCAAGTGGTTTCCAAAAGGTGGGGAATTATAAAAATTTGATTAAATATAACCAAAAAGTGATTTAATTTGATTAATTTTCTTTTTGTTCAGAAACTACGTTAGAAATGTTACAATTTAAGGGCAACAGCAAATTACACAGCTTTCTTTAGGTTTTAACAGGATATTAATCCACCTCTATCCCTATTCCTTTTAAAAACCATTTTTTATTTAACTACAAAAATCTCACCATTAGCACGACCAAAGTTGTCCAGGATAAAATTGTAAATTTCATAGCAAAAAGAGTACACTTTCCTGCAACGAATGCAAGTAGTAAAGAAACTATAGATAACTGTTGCAGAACCCATAGCTTTATATACCAACCGGCCTAACCATAATGTCAGCCAAATCTCGTGGGAATCGCATACCTTGTATTATCCAAAACAAAAATCTTGAACAGCACTCGAAAAATTGTTAACGAGCTAACTAGACAACAACAACCAACAACACACATCGTTCCGTTTCCCCTTGGGCCCGATAGCATCTGCCGTAGTCGTTCTATTATATATTATTAATAAATTTTATTGTTGACAATCGTTTAATTGTGCTCCCGTGCCCCGTGCATGTTTCTGGCGTGAGTCTATTAATAAATAACTAAATAATTAACCGACGACCAGTTCAGTCCAGTCAAGCAAACAGTTGAATGATGACATTGGGGGACGCCACCACAGTACTCCGTGTTATTGTGGGAAAATTATTGAGTAATTGTGCAAAGTACAAGGTCAAATAAAAATGGAATAAACAAAAACAAAATCGAAACGAAAAGGGGCCAACAACTAAATGTCATGGCGAATTCGCAGAAAAATAATAATAATTTTTTTAAAACCACAAGAATATTATTTCTGGCTCCAAAAGTCTTATCTCAAAGTCACAGTAATCACTCATCTGAGTCACAATAAAAATTCGGTAGAACTACAATAGTCAGGTCCAAGAAATAGTACATGTTGAAAACTAAGTCCCGCGACTTTGAAGGGGAATTAAATGAGTCATGCAATCAGTGATTAGTGCGTGGTTCAGGCACTCAAAACCAATAGTTGCTGCTTAAAACACTTAAAATTAAACACAATAAAATAAAATAAAAAAAAAATACAAATATATAAAAGATTTCCTAGATTTCACTGATACAACGGCTTACGTCCGTCGCCAAACTCATAATTAAACAAAGCTGTGATTACTTTAAATCTGAAAATGTTAATCTATTCATTGGAACAGTAATAAACATGTTCTTGGAACAAAAAATCAAATCAGAACTACAATTCTGTGAATTGAATTCACAAAATTCATTTAACTCATACAAATTCTGATAGTAATTTTAGTAGCGAAATTCAAATAATTGATTTATTACTGCCGTATTCATACCAAGACCTTGTGCAAATAAAAATGCAACAATGATAAACAAAACAATTACATTACACACACGCACATTCACAAACTCATATGTAATTACAAATTCAATGATTTTTAGAGTTAATTTGTTTATTTGCCATCCTCATGTCATTAAAATTTAAGCACAGAAAAATAGATAAATAAATAAATAAATAATCCGCTTGCCAATTTGCGAAATGCAACTGCATTGAGCAAAAAATTACCGCCAAAACAGCAGACCCCATACATCCCCATATATGTATAAGCCGACGCATCTCGTATATATAAACATCGTTTGTCATTGTTATTTGCTCATCTGTGGGTGGCCGCAGTAATGGGCAATATTCCCCGATTATCACGTAGCTCAATCCCAAATAAAAACAAAAAAAATTACACACACTGCGGAGACGGCGTTGCTGTAGCATCATTAAAAATTAAATCAAAATTAAATGTTCATCAAATGCAATAAAAACGATTGGCGCATACGATTTTTATACACTTTTTTTAGCGAATTATATTGAGATATGTATATGTGTGTATTTGAGTTTTATTATTTATTTTCTTCGGCTTACTCTTTTTTATTCTGCGCACTTGTATCGAGGAAATCCATTTGAGGTTTGTGCATTATATGGGCTTCATAATCGTTCTTTATCTTATTTTTATACGAAACAAACAATATTTATTGTTTTGTTTTCATTTCGGAATGTGTTTTTGGATGGAAACAAAGAGTTATTATTTTTGTTTTAAAATTTTCCTTTATTAATTTGTAAACAACATTAAAAACCACAGAACAATAAACTTATTTAAAGATTAATAAGAAATAACATAAAGAAATTTTGGGTAATTTCACAGAAAATATAAGCGACAAAATAAATTAATTCATTGGAATTTATTTAGCTTTTGTTATTGTTACTTGTGCATTTTCGGGGAATAAATAGGCAACAAACTTATTATTTTTAAATAGAATTTTCAAGAACTTGGTATTTATAGATTTCCAAACTATTGAAATAGGAATCATCCATAATCGTCGCCTACGGTGTACTGGGCACCCGCCTGTGGCGTATCATATCAGGCGTATCATGCTTATTTTGCGGTTTATTTTCTGAGAAAAATTGAATTTAAAAAAAAGTGTGACATATTTTCTGGAGGCGCCGCCGATAAGGCGCTTCCAGACGGCGACAGGCAGCAACAATAACAAAACGAAAGCCAAACAATGACACCGAAAGGGAAACAACACAGCAAGGGCAACAAAAACAACGGCGAAATTGCAAGACAACAATCCCACAGATACAGATAATACAAACTTACAGTTGTCGTAGGTATACGAGTTGCGCCGCCGCCACTTTGGCATTCAAAGCATCGTCGTCGCCGATGGATTGTCCATTGAAATTGTAAGTCCCCGCCAAGTATTTGCCTTCGGATGTGAACGGGCTGACAGGAGAGGAGCGTCGCGTCTCGGCAACAGAATCTTCGATGTAAATAATTAAATCGAATTCGAAGTAAAACGCAAATACTGACTAATAAAGGCGATCGATATTTGGTGCAAACCTAAAAATAAATAAAATTTATAAATCTCATTGAAAGCCTAATAAATAATTTTAATTTAATTTAATAATTCACTTACCTTTATTGTATTTTTAAGGCAACTTTGTTTTTGCTTTGCTTGGGTTAAACTGGAAGCTTAATTTGCGGATTTTTCCTTTTTCTTCTGCGTAGGATGACGGCAATCGATACTTTATGAATTGTACCCTGCTCTCAGAATGTTTCGTCCACGTTCATCCTGGCGGATAATAAAGTTGTTGCCGACGCCCGGCCCTTTGAAAATTGGCTTGTGGGCGCCCACTAATTGCCGCTGCCAAAAGAGCGGGGGGGAGAGAGCGGCAGCGGTTGTGTTTATAAAGCGTGAAATGAAATTATCATCGCACACATTCAATTATGCTGTAATGAAGTGCGGCTGCAATCTCGCCGCCAAAGGAGTACCAGCAACAGCTGTCCGGGGTCACTTCAGCTTCAGTGTCGCAGGTCACTCACTTGTCTTGCTTATTAGCCAAAGAAAGGGGGCAACGAACCCAATGTGCCGCAGGCGGAATCGAAACACACACCAAATACGCGTAAATCCTTTGATGAAGTATCATATACCCCGCAATTAGTTCGTACCTTCATAAACACACATTTCACTACATTTTGGCCTATTTAACTTAGGGATTACACCTAAAAACACTGATGGAAAGCGAGGTAGAGAGAGCAATGACCTGAATATCGGTCACAGGGATCCCCTGCTGATGCAACATCTCCGTGAGCAGAGCAGGTCATTAAATTAAAATAAATAAAAACATACATAATAAAGTGCAATTAGTTGCAATATAAAGCAATAAAAACAAGAAAGGAAACTAACTTCGGGAGCCCGAAATTTGTATACCCTTGCTGTTTGCCATAGGATCGGTCATTCAATCAAAAATCTATCATAACTAAGCCAAAAAAGTATCAAATTCAATTCTGAAAGCTTTTCTGTGCTAGTTTTTTCTAGGGTAACGAAACTGCATACTAAATTTCACATTTTAAGAAATTGAAATTTTTGCCAATTTCTTCTTTGACAATTGAACCATTTTAGAGGTTTACGCCGATGGTTAAAGGCATCGGCGGCGGCGTAGAGGTCAAAATGACTCGGCGGCGGCGGCGTAGTAGTCAGAAAGAACCGGCGGCGGCGGCGCGTCAAATAAGGCAAAAAGGCCATTTTAATGAGTTATTTTTTTTTTTTTAAGTTTTATAAAGAACAATGACACTGAAGGCCGCGCTGAAGCTGCGCCGATGCCGCACCAGCGGCGCGCCGCGGCGCGCCGTTATTTTCATAATTTGGCGGCGGCGCGTCAAATAAGGCAAAAATCGGCGGCGGCGGCGGCGTGGCGCGGCGGCGTATATGTCTAAACCATTTTAAGACCTCAAAAATAAAAATAAAAATTAAAAAATTTGTTTTCTGCTAAACATAGCTAGATCGACTCAGCTTTTTGTGCTGATCAAGAATATATATGATTTATAGGGTCGGAAATGACTCCTTCGCTGACTAAAATCATAAAACCCCTCAGGAAGGTCTAAAATATTCACACTCTTTAAATTAATATTTGTATATATTTTAAATGGCAATTTTTTGTATAAAAAATATCATAACTAAGCCAAAAAAGCATCAAATTCAATTCTGAAAGCTTTTCTGTGCTAGTTTTTTCTAGGGTATCGAAACTGCATACTAAATTTCACATTTTAAGAAATTGAATTTTTTGCCAATTTCTTCTTTGACAATTGAACCATTTTAAGACCTCAAAAATAAAAATAAAAATTAAAAAATTTGTTTTCTGCTAAACATAGCTAGATCGACTCAGCTTTTTGTGCTGATCAAGAATATATATGATTTATAGGGTCGGAAATGACTCCTTCGCTGACTAAAATCATAAAACACCTTAGGAAGGTCTAAAATATTCACACTCTTTAAATTAATATTTTTATATATTTTAAATGGTATTTTTTTGTATACAAAATATCATATCTGAGCCAAAAAAGCATCAAATTCAATTCTAAAAGCTTCTTTGTGCTAGTTTTTTCTAGGGTATCAAAACTGCATACTAAATTTCACATTTTAAGAAATTGAAATTTTTGCCAATTTCTTCTTTGACAATTGAGTCATTTTAAGACCTCAAAAATAAAAAAAAAAAATTTTAAAAAAATTTTTCTGCTAAAACATGGCTAGATCGACTCGGCTTTTTGTGCTGATCAAGAATATATATGATTTATAGGGTCGGAAATGACTCCTTCGCTGACTAAAATCATAAAACCCCTCAGGAAGGTCTAAAATATTCACACTCTTTAAATTAATATTTGTATATATTTTAAATGGCAATTTTTTGTATAAAAAATATCATAACTAAGCCAAAAAAGCAT